CTAACGCGATGAGGGGAAAGGTGAAGGAAGTAAGCTGGTATTATTACAAAAGAGCGATATCTTTATTACGCCAACATCACCGATAGAATAACAATAAACGGAAACTATAGCTATTATAACAATGGTGAGCGCACATGTTCAAACCATTTAGACGCGATAAACAAACGGAAATCTAGGAGCGCATTCGCTAACTATTTCAGCGCAACAGATACACGACTGTGACGTTGAACCCGGCGATAGCTGGTGCAGGAGAGAATTAGCGAGAAAATACTTAGTGCGACCCACCGGTTGACTCCGCCCGCGGCCCGCTGGCAGAGCCGCCGTCGCCTGAAGCGTAGCCCTGCTTACAGTGAAGCTCGTGGAACCACCGAGGACGGTCTGCTAATCGTTGGCGCGCGTCCCCGACTTTTTAATCGCCTAATGGTGGTAGACGAAAGAGGCTGCAGGAAGCAGCCGAGTGTCTCACATGTGAAAAGATTTGATCCTCATTGGTCGTCAGACTCACTAATCGCAGCCGATGCACCGTCGGTCCAACAAGCATTTATTGTGACCTTACTACTTAATCGTCTAGGCCGTTCTGCCGGTCCACTCCTGCTCGCTTTCTTTTCTTTCTTTCCGCCCCTCTTTTTGTGGCACGAGCCGCGCTCTCTGCGCTCTCGCTCGCCCTTCTCGTTCTCTTGCCCTCTCCCCCGTGCTTCTCGCTCTCGCTCTTCCTCGCACTGTCTTCTCCGCCGACCGTACTCTCCCCTCTCCAGGCAACGACACAAGCGTGTGAATACTATTTCACCATAGCCACGCTCAGCCGTCGCAGCCTGTCCCAGTTATTTGAGTCAAACGTCTATTCCAGTTTAGATATACTTTTAGAATTTCATCGAGTCTTAAAAAACTTGGAAAATTGTATTTTCCAAAATCATCTCCGAAAATTCTGAAAAAAATTTGAGGGGTTTCCATGATTAATTCTAAGATATTTCTATTCTATGAACTTTTTCTCTAAACTAAATAGTTTTCGAGAAAACATGTTTTATATCATGATCACATAAGTGTGTAATATTTTTTTCGATATTCCGTGCGGAAAGTACGTTTTTCCCGCACGTTCGCCAAAAAACGTGCGTTAAAAATCGCACTTTCCACACGTTGTATAAAAAAATACGGTACGACACATGTTCGGGAAAGAGTTTCTCGTCTCGCGTACTTTTACACCCTCGCTTCGTTCGAGCGTAAACGCCACACGAGACAAGAATCTATTTTCCCGCACTTTTATAGTAATGTACTATCACACAGAATAAAGAACAGCTAACAATAGTATGGTAATGTTTTCCTTTCTTTCAATGTGTACAAGTACAATTTATACAGCGTATAACAATAATATATACATATCAAAAAGTCAATTTATGTTATTTTGTTTTATTTTGCGACCATACAATTACGGTCGAATCGAAGTGATTGTTTTCCCTGTCTGAAGTCCGAGATATTTCATACGATCAGTCGATTAGATGCATGACAACCGTAGTTATTGTTTTTATTACTTATTTTTAAATTTTTATTTTACAATGTCACAAAAACATAAGAGACGTTTCACTCCTTTTCATGAAATATAGGACATTGATATATCAATGAATACCTACGATGATATAGTTACTGTTCGAAATCCTGATAATTCTGGTTCTGATGCGTCAGATTTCGATACTGATTCGGATGATGAAATTTCTAATATAACTTACAAAGAAGCTTGTAAATTCTCGGCTTCGCCTCGGGCGTCAAACCCCGCCGGCCAGGGCATCCAGCATTCTGGCCGAGTGTCGTATACTATTTTTCTTGCTCCCCACCCGAAAGTACGTTCAAGTATTATTTTTTTAATAACAAAATCGCGTTCTCGTCTGCTGCTCAGCCGAAATATCAATTGCGGACTGCAGTAGCGCGCCCCCGCGGTCGACTCGTGTATTACTGCTCTTCCGGGCCGCTCGCACGGCCAGCTGATTGTGATCGGCTTCGCCTCGGTTCTGCAAAAGTCGGGCGGACAACAACACACACAATACAGAAGGAAAAGAATGAGAATAAGACAGAAACGTAAAGCCGATAATTGATTCGTTTTCATTTCTTTTTATTACAAAGCGATTACAACTAGATAATAATACTGTGTCAAATCTACTATTTACTATAGTATTATCACATTTTACATCTTACATTTACTTTCATTACAACTCCATAAAATTACTTTTTATTAACCTATTTTAAGAAAGATTTTCACCTGTAGTGGAACTCAAGTTGAATACACAATTGTTGAAAGTGCAATTTTCAAACTTCATAGGGTGCTTGTTCAACATGGCATCAATGTTATTTGCATTTTCATCTGTGTTCAAGTTTTCTGTGAGTTTTCTTTTTTTATAAATTCCAGGTTGATCATTTGATGGACTTGTAAAATCAATTTTTACTGGTGGTTTTAAGAAGAATGATTGTTTATCTTTTGCAGTTGATGAGCTTCCACAATGATTTGCTACAGGTGGTGTTACTATCCTTTTATTATTAGCTGTTGAAAAATATACTTCTTTGACTGCATCTAAAAATGTATTTATAATGAATGAAAAGTTTTACAGTTTATCGAACATAAAGAGTTTTCTTGTTTTTCTTTTGATAAAGTTAATATTTTTGGATCTTACTTGCAGTTTTATCCAGATCAGCAACGGTGAACTCTTCAGAAAAATCTACCCCATCCAAATCATAATTTTGTAAATCATTATCAATATGGGTTATTTCAGTATTCGCTGATCGTGAGTTATGTATAGATGCACTGATTGACTCTTTGCTAGTTGAAGGAATGGGTGCTGGCAGTTGGTTTGGTGTCTCACTTGTTGTATAGTAGCTTGATGTACAAGACCATTGTAAATCATCTGCCTATTGTGCACTGAGTTTTCGATGTACCCTTGTACAATTATATCAGACCGCCATCTGCCTAATTGCTTTATCATTTGCATAGTCGCTCCAGATTCTGAAAGTAGCGTTGCAGCTGTACGTCTGAAACAATGACCTGTGTATCTCTGCGGATTAGGCAGTTCCAAAAACCCTGCGATTTTCATGGGTATACCACCAATCGAGTGTCTTCCAATAGGTTACTTTATACATTTGCCGTTGCGATACTGAATGAAAAGTCGGTCAAATTCAATGCCTTCAGGTCTTAGTGAAATATATGTTTGCACTTTATCGTAAAAAAGATTGCCAATGATGAATTGTCCTGGGTAGTCATTCTTATTATCACCTATCGTCACGAGATACCTGCCTTTTAGATCTTCAATATCAGAAACTTTCATATTCGTTAATTCATCACAACGCAGACAGCCACATATTCCAAAAATGAGTATAACCTGTAAACGATAATAATGAATGGTTTAATTGAGAGAAGTATGTCAACAAGAAATAATAAATAATACCTTGAAAACTAAGTAATCATGATCATAAAGTTTCCTTCATAAACTTCATTATTTGATCCCATTTGAAAGTGAAGGCCTTTCTAGGCTTGTAGCCTTGGTTATTTGTTTTGATCAAATCTTTCAATTTTGCAAATCGAGTTATTTCAATACTGTTATTCGTGCTCAGCGTCTTCCGCAACATGCTCCAGATACTCCATTGTGTTGGAGGTTTCACTTTTGTTTTCATTTCATCAAAATAGACTACTAAATTATCTTCTTCAGAAGTAGAGAGTGATTTTTCATTTGCAGTACGCCAGGTTTGATAGTTGTTATATACTAACATGTAACATTCTCCCGACTTTTTCGGAAGTGTACCGGATTTCACAATCGGCCGGGCTTCTTTTTCGAAATTTCTCAAAACTTTTTCTTCGTCTGCTGAGCCTTCAGATGATGTGTCATCCATACTCAGGCCTTGTAAACAATTGCACACAAGTAGTCGTAAAATAACTATCTCTTTAAAATGTTTCGCAACTATGCGGCAATAGATGACGTAGGTTAGTTTAACACGGCCACGCGGCACCAGCGAGCAGGGTAACGAAAGGCTAGGTCTAGCAGCTACTCGGCGCATGCGCAGATCTCGGCCGAGGACACAAAAGTCTCTCTTCCCGGACTGATACAGAGCCAGAAAACTTATATTAAAGCTCAAACTAAATTAGAAGAAAACTATGTTTTTAATTTGGTGGAAGGAGAAAAAAATATATATTGATGATATGGAAAATAAAATTTTATTGAAAGATTCAATAATAAAGAAAATATGAGATAGTGAGCCAGTAGAAAAAAGAGTTTGAAACATTTTTCTCTACGGAAATAAAGCGATATATTATATACGCTTGTAAAGAAAATAATTTCGATTTAAATTTACAAGACTTTAATACATTTGTAGGAATAATCATTTTGACTTCATTCAACAAAAAGAAATCTCTAACAAGGGAAGGCAGGAACGTCTCCGTCACCGATTTTCTTTAAACTTTGCATACGATTAGAGTATCGAAAAATATTAGACACATCCTTTTTATAAAATGCACATTCGCGAAATTCAAAGCTACTAAACTATTCGCATGTCAGCAAAAGCTAACTAAACGCGAGGTTCATGACTCTCCGAAATTAAGCCTTACGACGCATCCTTTTTGTAACAAATGCACATTCAAAACTGCTAAACTATTCACACGACAGCAAAAAGCTGTCGAAAAACACTCTGAAACTAAGTCACCAAAACGCAAGAATTTATAATCAGCGAAAACAAAAATGTCACACAATATCGCAATACTGACCTGAAAAGAGCTATAAAAGATATAAAAAGCAATGAACAAATTACTCAGTCAGTTGATCAGTAGTCCGTCAGTCAGTCAATAAGTACCTGTAACACTCAACTCCGTACACACCGGTCCGACAATTGGTGATCATTTTACTTAATAAACTCGCGACTGTTACAAAGTAATATCGTGCAAGTATTATTCAACAACCTTGTTAAAATATATGAATTAATATTTCAAGAGTATAAGATGTATGTAGTAGCGCACGCGCAAAAGCGCTTAAGTACGCAGCGAGATGTATCTGTACATAACTATAAGTACAGTCGTAAGAGAGCGTTTGCTTGAGGCAGACCGTGTCTCTAACTATGAGACCAACCTTGTACATATTGCATGACATTACATTTTATTTTAAAACAAACTCAATAGTTTTAACTTATCCCAGTCATTTTTAACATGGTAGCAGAGCGTGGTTAATAGTGTGATCGATTAAAAGTGAGGTTGATTCAGTGTATGGTTGACATAGTTAATGAAGAAGATAGGAATGAATGTTGTCTGAAATTTGTTTTTAAAGTTGAAAAATAAGTGAATGATCAAGAAGATGCAAGTGAATACGATTGTGAATTTTGCCGTCATGCGGTGCTTGGCAGGAACACATGGAAATTTGAGGATATACGACTAAATGAGTAGAAACAAGATAATATAGTACTCAACGTAATGAAACACCGAGGATATTGATAAGTATACTGTAAATATCAAGGTAATAAATCCTTTTATCGGAGAATGAAGTCGTTTGAAACAATAATAAACAATTAGAAACAAAAATTAAATTGAAACATTGAAACTTAAAAACAGATCAACAAGTAGTAATAAATATTTTATTAGATATATAAAGATATATAAAGATAGATACACGTGCATGAACGAGAACGTTGAGTAAAGTTGTGAAAAATTGTGTTTGAAAGTTGTAGAGTATAGAATGGCTTCTGATACGGATATGAAAATTCCTATCTTTGATGGCAAAGATTACAACCTTTGGAAAAAAAGATTATTACTTTTACTGAAATTTAGAACGTGTGATGAGGTGGTCACACACGAAAAACAATTGAAAGATACTGATTGGGAAAAGCAGAATTGTAAAGCTATGAACTTAATATATTCAAGTATTTCAAATGATCAATTAGAATTTGTATGTGATGAAAATGCAGCAATTGATATATTGAATAAGTTTGATGAAATCTACTTAAAAAAATCAACTTCTTTACAAATAGTTTTGAGAAATAGACTGGATAAATTAAAACTGAAAGATTTTGAAAATGCCGATAGTTTCTTTAGTGAATTTGAGAAATTAATTAATGAATTGAAAAGTGCTGGAGCAGATATAAAAGAACAAGAAAAATTAGATTATATATTAAAAACTCTACCTGATTCACTCGCATACATTGGAGACTTAGTCGATACTTTACAAGATAAAGATAAAAATTGCAGTTATATAAAAAACAAAATTAAAATGTATGAAATTCAACATAGCCAAGATAATAATAAAAAGTCAAATTTATTTAAAGTCGAAAAGAAAGATATTGAATGCTTCATTTGCCACAAAAAAGGGCATACAAAAAAGGATTGTAAAACTAATGCTTTTCCGAATTTCCGAGCAAGTTGGCGAGGAGGTGCTATAACCCGAGGCAGCTGGCGAGGCAACAACTCTCGTGGAAGCGGTCAAAGGGGCAGCTACAATCAAGAAGAAAATTACCAAAACAACAACTACAGAGGTTATACTAATAACAACAATAGAGGCTACGGCAACTACAGAGGCTACAGCAATAACAGAGGATATAATAACAACAACAATCGAGGTTACGGTCAACGAGGAGGTCACCGAGAGTTCAACAATCAACGAAGTTTTCAACAAGAAGGTCAACACGACGCACGCTATAGTTATAATAATAGGTATTACGATAATACACCACAGACGTTTTATTTGCATGCAAATATTGATGTTAAAAATTTTAATAGTAGAGTAAATTCCATAAATCAGAGTCAAAGTACTCAAATAAATTGGATCTTAGATAGTGGTTGTACAGACCATATAATAAACGATGATTCTTATTTCTCAAATTTTAAAAGATTAGAAAAACCAATTTATGTAACTATTGCAGATGGTAGAAAAATAAAGTGCGAAAAAGTTGGAAATATTATAACATCATTTTATCAAAAAAGTTTTAAAACAGAAATAATTATGAAAAATGTTTTTTATGTAAAAGAATTGGATAGAAATCTAATAAGTCTAGCTAGAATTACAAATAATAAAAATTTTAAAATCTTATCTCAAGGAAATCGATCTGAAATTTACGATAGAAACAATAATATAATTTGTACTGCGTATAACGAAAATGGTCTATATAAAATTTCGTCATATGTTGATAAAAGAAATATTAGCGTAAATAATTCTGGAATAATAAGTCAAAAAGAAAAATTACATAGGATTCTTGGCCATGTAAATTTTAATTATTTAGAAAAACTTTGCAAATATGAATTAATCGAAGGACTTCCAAAAAACTTAGAAAAAGAATATATGAAATGTGGAATTTGTATCAAAAACAAAATGCATAATTTACGTTTTGAAAACAATAGAACAAAAGCAACAGAAATCCTTCAATTAGTTCATACTGACTTAAATAGCCCACACAGAAATACCGGGTACGAAGGTTCAAAATATTTTCTCACATTTATTGACGACTTTAGCAAATGTACATTGATTTTTCCAATTCAAAATAAAATTGAAGTATATCAATGTTTTCTTTAACAGGTAAAAAGATTAAAAAATTGAGGTGCGATAATGGTAAAGAATACATAAATAACAATGTTTTTAACTTAATCAGAGATAAAGGTATATATCTTGAACCTTGCCCACCGTATGTTCATCCACTAAATGGAACAGCGGAGAGATACAATAGAACGGTCATGGATACCGCTAGATGTTTATTATCGGAAACAAAATTAAATATTAGATACTGGCCTGAAGCAGTAAAAACTGCAGCGTATTTGAAAAATCGTTCAATTGCGAATACACTTCTTAATAAGACACCTTACGAGATATTTTTTGGAAAAAGACCGAGTATGAAGTATTTAAGAATTTTTGGTAGTAAAATCTTTGTAAAAACTCCGGAAGAAAAAAGACATTCAAAATGGGACAGAAAAGCTGATATGGGAATTTTAGTTGGTTATGATAACGTAGGTTATAGAGTTTTAATGAATGGTAGAATTATAATTGCTAGACACGTAGAAGTAGTTGAAGATGATGTGAAATGGATAGGAATAGATACTGATAATGAGAGTGAAAGTGAATCTGAAACGAGTTATGAGAGTATGAGTGATGATGAAGTATTTTATGATAATGAGAAAATTAAGAAAGAAAACAAATTTAATAAAAGAAAAAAATCTAGCCCAAATTCAAGTGGAAATGATAATGAAAAGGAAAACTTAAAGTTTGAAAAGAGAGAGTCCACGCGAGAGAAAAGAAAACCTAATTGGTACGGTCAACCAGTGACAAGTTTTATTTATGTAAACACTGTTAGTGCTGATTCACCTAAGACTTATAATGACGCAGTAAATTGTAATGATTCTGCTTTGTGGAATGATGCTATGGCAAAAGAAATCCAAAGTATAGAAAAAAATAAAACTTGGACAAAAGTTGACAAACCAATAGATAAGAAAATTTTAGATTTAAGATGGGTTTACACAAATAAATCTGATGGTAGAAAAAAAGCGAGACTTGTGGTACGTGGATATCAACAAGATCAAGTAATTGAAGACATATATTCACCAGTAGCTAGACTGCAAACTTTAAAATTACTTTTAGCTTACTGTAACCAAAATGAATTTTATATCGAACAAATGGATGTTGAAACAGCGTTTTTGAATGGAAAAGTTAAATCTGAAATTTATGTGAAAATACCACAAGGTTATGAAAATGTTAATGAGAATTCTGATAAAGTTTTAAAGTTAGAAAAAGCTTTGTATGGCTTAAGAGAAAGTCCTAGAGCTTGGTACGAATGTTTTGATAATTTTATTAATAGTATGAATTTCAAAAGAAGCGAAAGCGACTATTGTTTATATTATAAAACTGAGAATGGAAAAAAAATTTATATATTATTATTTGTTGATGATTTGCTAGTTTGTTCAAAAAATCAAACTGTCATTGATAAAATTAAAAAGAAATTAATGAAAAGATTTGCTATGAAAGATCTAGGTAAAATAAAAACGTATTTAGGAATTAATGTTGAATATGATCTTGAAAAAGGAAAATTGAGCCTTGATCAAACTGATTATATAAACTCATTAGGAAATGTCTATAATTTAGAAAATACTAAACTGTATTTAACACCTATGGAGGAAAGGTTACATATACCTCCAGCACAATCAGCATGTAATGAAATCAAATATAGAAGTTTAATTGGAGCACTTTTGTATATCAGTACATGTACTCGACCAGATATAAGCTATAGTGTAAATTATTTGAGTAGGTTTCAAAATTGTTATGATAAAACTCATTATAAATATGCTTTAAGAGTACTGAAATATTTGTATTTAACCAGAGAAAAAAAATTGAATTTTATAAGAAAATCAAATAATAAAAATATTATAGATTGTTACGTTGATGCTGATTGGGCAGGTGACAAAAATAATAGACAGTCTACGACAGGTTTTGTTATACGTTATTATGGGAATACGATTTTTTGGAAAGCAAAGAAACAAAGTAGTGTAGCTAAATCCTCTACAGCAGCAGAATATGTGGCTTTATCGGATGCTGTTAGTGAGATAAAAGTAATTAAAAATTTATTAAAAGATTTAGACGTAAATATTATTAAGCCTATAAAGATCTATGAAGATAATTCTGGTGCAATTGCTATTGCCAAATATGGAAATCTCACAAAGAAATCTAAATACATAGAAACACATTTTCATTTTATTAACGAAAGCTACGTAAGGAATGAAATTGATATTGTGAAAGTTGAGAGCGAAAAGAATATTGCGGATATATTTACAAAAGCACTAGGTAAAAATAAGTTCGAAATGTTCAGGAAAGATTTAAATATTGTATAATGAATTGTAAGAGAAACAATGTAAGATTTTTTTGAAACCTGTGAATATTTTTTTGAAAATGTTTACTGTTAAGAAATATAAATTCAAGGAGGTGTGTTAAAATATATGAATTAATATTTCAAGAGTATAAGATGTATATAGTAGCGCACGCGCAAAAGCGCTTAAATACGCAGCGAGATGTATCTGTACATAACTATAAGTACAGTCGTAAGAGAGCGTTTGCTTGAGGCAGACCGTGTCTCTAACTATGAGACCAACCTTGTACATATTGCATGACATTACATTTTATTTTAAAACAAACTCAATAGTTTTAACTTATCCCAGTCATTTTTAACAAACCTATCCTATTCAATTCAACAAGCAGTTAGAGCCTGCTACATTTTATCAACAATTAAAAGCTACGATTATCAAGGTAGTACAATTATCAGACATACATTTCCACATACATTTATTATAAGTGAGACATATCCAACCACTAGTCAACATATTGGAACGTCTCATTCGTTAGCTATTCGTAGTTGATGCACGAGACGTAACAATTGGTTCCGGTACGGGGAATCGAACCCGAGCCTCCTGGGTGAAAGCCAGGTATCCTAGCCACTAGACCATACGGGACAATTGTAAGTAACAATTGGTTCCGGTACGAAAAATACATTCGATTGAGATAAAGAAAATTATTTTGATACATATTAAAACTTAGTTCTTATTAATGAATTAACACGTCAAACGGAAAAGAGAGAATTCGAAAACTGCGGATATACGAGTAGGTGTTATATTACAAAAGTAAGCAGCACACGTCACTTTCTTTCATAGTGACCGAATTTCAAAATTGGAATTTTGCAAAATTGTGAAATTAAAACAACAGCAGAAGTAAGTGACCGAGAAATAATTTTCAGCTAGTAGGTCAAATACCATACATAGATAGAATTTCCTTTTTTCTTTTCTTTTTCCCCTTTTTATATTATTTTTGCCATCTCAATAAGTAATTGTGTTTCCATATACTTCTACCATAATTTTTTTTTACTAACAATAATTTTTCTTATTTTATATATTTTCCCTGCTTCACTCTATTTTAATTTTGTCGAATTCCCTTTGTTTATTCCGTTTATTACGAAAGTGCAATAAATGAGCAAGAAGTCTAGCACAACGAAGGACACATCATCCATAATTAGGAAACTTACGCGATCACAAATCGACAAGAATCCAAAATTAGAAGACCTTTTAGAAAAAGGACTGGATGAGATAGCTTTCAAAAAGAGTAACAAGCTACAAAGATCGCCGATTAAGACCAAGACCCAAGAAGAAATCGTAGGAAAAGAGAAAAACACAGGCGCAATAAAGAAAATCATACCAACAGCTGACCAATTAGTTGATTTAACAGAAAAACAAACAAACAAAACCGACTACACTGATTCAGACAAATATTCACTATTAGACCAGACGTTTGACACATTTGACTCAGAAAAACACGATAGATATTCAGACATTGGAGGATTTTTAGGTGAACAAAGTCTAATATTAGGGACACCAAAGGACATATTATTCACCATAAACAAAAACGAAGAATCAGTCTATACACAACACGCATTACCAAAAATCTCTGACGAATCTATTAACGAACACCAGAACAGTGAAGACTCAAAAAAAGACATTAGAAAAATAAACAAAACACAATACATAAACGAAAAGGAGAGTGAAAGAAACACTCAGCAAATTCAAGGAAACCAACGTATCACAAGTCCAGCAACAAACCCAATAAATATGGCAAATTCACACCCAATCAAATTATCACTCAAGGAATTGGTAAATTATGTTCCGGACTTCGATGGCAAAAATATGCCACCCGCAAAGTACATCAGGAGACTACGACGAGTAAAAAATTTATTAGATGACCAAGATGAACACAATGTAGTAGAACTATTGAAAGTGAGAATGAAGGGAGAAGCAGAAGAAGCTTTAGGAAACAGCTGTGTAGAAACAATAGACGAATTAATTACATCAATACGAAGTCTATACCCAATTCAAGAAGACATACACGAACTGCGTGCTAGGATACGCAAAATAGATTATGTCAATTAGTATTAGAAATAAAAGAAATATACAGAATACAAGAAACAAATGAAATAGCCAGGAAGAATTTCTACGAAGAATTAGATGCGGACGCAGCAAAATGTTTTAAAAAAGGAATGCGAACGGAGATAAAATACGAACTGGGCAACGAGACAACATTACAAGAAATGTCCAAAAAAGCTATAAAAATTGAAAATGACATAAATATTAAAAAAGCAACAGACAATGTGACAATTAATAACACATATGCCGAATACAATGATTATTATAATAGATCTGAACTACCAAATAAAATCATGATATGTCAAATTTCCCATGACCCCCAACACGAAGCGCTATTTTGCCATTCTACAGCATGCGTCTATTGTAAAGGATCAGATCACTTTTCTAATAATTGTAAAAATTCATTAGACAAAATCAATTTGATATGCAAATACTGCAGCCAAAAAGGACACTCAATAAGCGCTTGCACACTGAACAAACGAAGAAATATCCATT